GACAGTGGTGCGACCGGCGCGTCTGCCATCATCAGCGCTGAGAGAACGGCTCCACCGAAACAATACAGCATCGAACTGAACCAACACGCAAACGGACTGCGCTGAGAGACCTCCAGCGCTCCTGCAAAACAATCATCAGTCATGTGACATTACAGCCAACAACACAATTACCACAACAAGAGTCAGTGTTCATCATTTAGAAACACTCCAGAATATCTCAGACAGATTGAGACGAACAGATAAACCATGATCACGTGACTGTGTGCTGGAGTTTATATCTCTGCTCTGAGATTAGAGTGAGATTAGCATGAGACAATCAGCCAGAACACGTGACTATGAATGAGGATGATCTAGAGCTCAATGATTTGGGGGGGGGGATCTAATTGCAGTTTTTAAATTGTGATTGTGATTTAAAATGTGTTTTTAAAAATTCCTTGTTTTTGGAGGGCTGTACAATTTGGCCAAAATTGTGTTATTGCATATCAATATATCAATAAAACAGTAATAATAATAATAATAACTTCATAAAAATAAAAAACAATGATAAAAATTATATTTCAATTATAATATTTTAACTGTAAAATAAATACCTTATAACTGTAAAATTGCAATCCTAATACAGTATTTATGGCTGCCTTAATATCTTTTTTTTTAAATGTTAAACCATCAAACTTTTATTTTGACAGAAAGGGATTTTCTGATTCAAGTTTTATTTCAATTAATCGTGCAGCGCTGTGTTACTGTTTTGAGCTCAGATACAAATATTTCAATTCTAAAACTCATGAATATTCAAATATGTATCACTCATGTCGATCAGGGTGAGCAGTGTAACATACTACACATACATTATTTTATTAGTTTTATTATCATACATTATTTACGAGGCTATATAGAATATCTGTGATTTTAAAAATTAATGTCATATTGCATTTCAAATGAATAGTGAAGACAAAAGGCGGTTAAAAATGATACATTTGAACCTAAATTAGACTAATACAAATATTAAATGTGGCCCTGGAGCACAAAAGCAGTCATAAGTAGCACAAGTATATTTGTAGCAATAGCCAACAATA